ACAGTCCACAGATTACTTACGAATGGGCCGCCATATCAATTCTACTCCCTTCAATGACCAATAAGAACCCTTTGCCTGACTTCTGGGAGGCGTCATTGAGTATCTGCAATGCCTTGTCTGTCATTTCAGATAAACTAGGCTCATAGGAGGAGTTTCTATCTATAGAATAAGCCATATGCTTATTAAGAGATTACACACAACGAGAATAGTCAGTTCCCTTCCCCCTTTAAAACAATAGCTGCTACTCACATCCGGTGAAAATAAGTGGATAGCCGGCAAAATATTATCACTGTCGGCTGGTGAGAGCTGATCAAACTTTTCCCGATCGCCATAATGAATTGTCTTCCAATCGAAACTGTCCTTTGCCTCTTTTAGTAAATCTCGATGGTCCCAGCGACAACTCTCGTTATGGGCTTTTGGCAGGAAGTAGCAATATCCACCCCCAAACATGAGATCAACACTCCTGCCAAGTGGATTGTCTCCGATCTGATGTATAGCTATCTTGTTCTCATTGTCCCTGTCATCTACATGAGAGGAAAATGCAGCTGGAGTGGCATGGGTCATTCTGGAGGTGACTACAAGACCAGTCAACATGTGGCGGACATGTTTGGCCGATTCAAGAAGAGTCCCACAAGGATACTTGGAGGCATCCACTTGATAGAAGTTGTCAATAGATTGCTATATACATGCTATCTATGTTATTTTACCTGCTACTGCTCTATTGAATGTTTTGATATTACAGCTGATGGCAGTTGCTCCAGCTGCACTGTCTGTAACAAGAGAAGAAGAACTTCTTGTTCTTGACTGTCCCACATGCATACTGTCTAATGGCAGTTGATAATCATATGGTTTGTTTTTGAGATACTGGTAATATGTTCTGGCAAATGTCATTGAAGCAGGACCGAGCCCGTCACTGATCAATAATACCATGTTTTTAGATTTAGGTGGTAACTTTAAACTGCCTACGATCATGCACGAAAGATAAATATGCTATCATACTCCTTATTTTCATTTGTATATCTTCACTCACCTTTATGATTGAGTGAGACGATGCTTATTCCCAGAATAAGAATACCTCCTGTCATCAACAACAGAACCACAGATCCGACCATGAACCATCCTCGACTCTTATTCTTAAATGGTGGGTGAGTTTCCCCTTTCTGGTGTTCAATATCGTATTCTTACCTTCTTTCCAAGGTGATGCCAGCCTAATTCAGTGGATGAATCATACAGGGTGCTCTCTCTTGCACATAATAGTGGTTCTGCCATTGGAATAGGTAGAAAGGATGGGAAGAAAGAGAAGATGAAGAAGGGGATAAATGAGTGAATATAGGAAGTTCCATTACGGAGATCCAAGTGAACAATGGGTTAAAGGACATACATTAAAAATTGAGGGAGCTGAAGTGATAGAGTAGAATGCACACAAACACACATTGATGCGTATATTCTCTATATGGTAATATCACACAGGAAAGAAGTACTACTGCATATCCAATTAGACTGTCTATGTGTGTCTGTGTGATGACGTGAGCACCCAGTAGGAAACAAGAAGATTCATCCCGATTCAACAGTATGTGACTTCTTATTTCTGAGAGAATGGGGGGTTAAGACAGGTGGGGGGGAACACAGAGTACAGACACACCCAACACTCACACACACACAATCAACACACAAAGAAAAAAGACAGTAGACAATAAAAAAATAGATAGATCTTCGGTAATATAAAAAATAAAAAAATAAAAAATGCTTATAAAAAGGACTCAATTTTAATTCTTTCATTTCTCTTTTTCTTCCCTTCTCTACTCTACTATTTACTTTTTCTCTAAAGTAGATTCCTCCTTTTCTTCAATTCAACTCCACAGTCATGTCATTCCAATTTGGTAAATACAAATGGCTGCATTGATAGTCATTCCATGTACTCATTCATAGACTAGGACAACAGCAGCAACCACTGCCATCATTGAATAGGCCCATGAACAAGCGTAGAATGGATGAGGAAGAGGTAAGAACCATGGATAGTGATCTGATCTGAATACTCAAAATAGTCAAATAGCCTATGATTGTAAAACGTTATTTTGACTTGCATACCAAATTTTCACCCGATTTGATACCTGCACCTCAAGAGCATTTACCTGCTATTACATATGCATCTCCTGACTATAGACCACCACCCTCCAATGTCACTCCACTCTGGTTATTACCTGTCAATGCAGCCTCTCCATTCACTGAAGATGACTCTGAAGATGATACACTGCTCACTCCATCCTCCTCAATGGACACAGACAACCCAATTGAAGATGCCTGGGTTCATATGAATTGAATTGAAACAATAACAAAAAACAAAAAAAAAGAAAACTGTACATAATCAACCATCAACCGCACTCCTTCATCTCACATCAAGCACTGTTTGTTTCTATATAAAAAAATAAAAATCCCATTCACATATTTCCCCCCCCCATTCATGCGATTATCTGAGTCTGAATAGTATTCACGCAAAAGAAAAGAGGTGAGGATTGTTATTGATTTACTGTGGATAAGGAAATAAGTCTACATAGAAAAGGGTACACAAGTATCTATCTTTCTCCCCCAATGATCATCTGTCCATCTGCACATTGCCAATAATCACTGCCTTTCTTCAATCCTAATTGTTTGCATAACTTATTCTTCATTATTTTTTTTTATTTTTTTTTTATTTTTTTTTATTATTTTCAAACAATACAACATCCCCCTTCTCCCCCTTCTCTCCCATCCTCCCAGTTTCTTTCTTCTTGATTATCTACACAGTGAGATATCTTTTATTCTTTTCTATATAATACACACATACACTCTTCTATTCATAGGGAACATCTTACTTATCATGATACGATATCTGGGCATATTTCTGCTCATATCATTTATATCATCCATACACTGTTTGGCAGAGAAGACACTACCTTACTATGATAGCCACATAGCATACTATGGTAGATGGCAACCTATTAACAATAACAGTAGTATCCAGAGTATATCACCCGGAGCTTATCTCAAAGTCATGGTACATGGACCTCGAATCATATTGAAATTGAGTCGACCAACCACAGTCTACTGCCAGATAGACGATCAGAAAGACTCGCTCCAGCTACTGAATGCTGTCTATCACGGTATTCTGCCTATTGAACTCGTTGTTCCTATTCCAGATGATAATGAGTTACACACGATTTCAGTTATCTCTATGGATAACATACACAACATCATCTCCCTTGAATCCCTTGTCTTGTTTGCTGGTGATAACCACTTACAGTCTTCGGATGATGCAACCCACTATATTCAACATCCACTCATCGAATTTGTGGGACATGATTCAACTCTAGGCTTGGGCACCTCTCAATCCATCATGACCAGTTTTCCTTGGCTGGTATCCAATATTTTAGGAACAGAAAGATCACAAATTGCATTTCCTGGAGCGTGGCTTATGGATCATAAGGAAGCAGTAGGCATGGAGACACAATATTTTCTTGGCCTCAATGATATAACCATTCCACCGAAGATAGTGGTGGTCTTGTTGGGTGAATTCGATCAGTACACTGATAAATACACAGAAAGTCTTGCCCATTTCTTACTCCATATCCGATCTCAGTTTCCTCAGGCAATCGTCCTCGTCTTGTCAGAACCATTGGGTGTCTTGTTCCGGGAATCACAGTCAGCTGTGAACTACATTAATGATGAGAAGAGTGATCAAGACATCTACTTTGTGGATACAACTTGTTGGGTTCAGTATGGAAGTACTAGTTACAGTGATCCAGTTAAGTATAATTTAAATATAGAAATTATACCTGGAAAACCCATCTATTGTTACTATGGTTACTATTTTCTATTTATTCCATGGTTACCCATTCTATTTTTTTTTGATGGTTATTCTTATTCCCATGGTTACCATGGATATTAATAGTTATTTATTTTTATTTCTAGTCACATCTCAATGATATCGGTCAAGACAAATTTGCACGGCTACTTGCCCCTTTTCTACAAGCTAAACTATCCTCTCAACCCTTCCCAGATCAGAAACCCAATCCCAATCTACCCTCTGCCTGGCAAACGATGGATGTGGGAGATGAAACGTCAAGAGGTCTTATCGGATCCGTATCATTTGACTCTGCTAAAATATTCACACTGTGGGGATCAGGCATTGGAACCATCAGACAGAAAGATGCCTTCCGATTTGTATTCCAGCCTCTTTCTCTCCATGGATCCATCGAAGTGACAGTTGAATCACACTCTGCCTTTGCCTCTTGTGCCAAAGCAGGCATTATGATGCGTGAACATCTCGCTCATGGTTCACCCAATGTGATGTTAGGATTCTCACCAGCTGACGGTATCTTTTTACAGCATAGACCCCATAATTTCAATATGACTCAATTGGTCTTAAAAAGGCGGTTATCACCTCCTTACCGCCTCCGCCTTGAACGTATAGGAACCACCAAATTTGTCACTAAGATTGCCCCTCCTCGTTCAAATGGATGGGAGATATTCAGTGTCATCGAGAATGCTTCAATGGCAAGAGATATCTATGTAGGCCTGGTTGTTACCAGCTGTGATCCATCCGTCGTATCTGTGGCTAAATTCTCCGATGTGAGTCTTCAGGGTGGCATAGGAAGTGGTGGCTTTCATTATCAATCCTCTCCCCACACCCCATTACTCATACAACAATAACAAAAAGAAAGACAAAAAAGTAAACAATAAGCAAAATAATGATAGTAAGAGTCTATTTCTCTGCTTCCTTTATACCCTCATTTTATTATATCCTTTATTTTTTATATGGTTATTGTTTATTAGTTTATTTTTTGTTTCTATTCAACATGATCATTCCTTATTCCTACAAGGAAAACACACAATAAAAAAGTTCGGTTTAACAGGATATCTATCGTGACGTCTACCCTCTTCCTGATACAGGGCCAATCATCTCTGCTTATTTTATTATAAAATCGTTTGTGACTTACCCTAAAAATTTGGGGAACCGATATGCCTGCTTGGCTTAGGGGTAGAGCGTTGCTCTCGTAAAGCAAAGGTCGAGTGTTCGATTCACTCAGTAGGCATTTTTTTTATTTTTTCAGGTGGCATCTTCTTTTTTGTTTTGAAAACCATATCTATGACAACCCGTTCAAAAAATCCCCTTTGAATCAACCCTATGCCAAGCAAGTAGAAACAGACAGGAAGTTCTATCATGGTAACGTATTTCAAACTCCTATCTTCCATGATGAATAGAGCATTACCTTAAATAATCCAGCCCCTCTTTTTTATTTATTTTTTATTCTTCCTCCCTCTCCCTCCCCGCATAGATCGTGTTATTCTTCTCTTTAGTTAGAGTCAACCCTTGATGTCCAGTAAATGATGAACTATCGAATGAATAGAATGAGCTTAATGATATATTTTAAATAGACAAAGCACCTGAGACTACTTGGCTCACGAGTCCCACTAAATATACCAGTAATGTACTTGTATCCTTTGACTTATGATGGCGTATTTATTGTAACTCTCTACTCTAGATCTCAAGGATCGTCAACTGATCAAAGCCCTGAGACAGAGCAGTGAAGTTGAGAGTACACCTACTGAATTAAGACAGTTTTTTAAGAATATAGTCTCGTATGCTGATAAACAAGAAGAGGAACTAACAGAAGACAAGGAGATATTGGAGAAATACAAATCCCAGTGTGATAAATATGCCACCTATATTACGAATGCAAACGAGAATTATAACCACCTACACGAGCTGTATCAGATAAAATACCAAGAACTCCAAAAAGCGAGTGAACTCTTGCTCGAGAAAGATCAACAGTTGAAGGAGAGTATAGCGAAAGTGGAGAAACAGCAGGTTTTGTTGGAAGAACAGAATAGATTATATAAGGATCAGTTAGAGAAACAGGCTGTGGGAAGAAAACAGATAGAGATGGATGCACTGAAACAGATGCAGAAGTTGAATGAAGCTACCAGGAGATGCACTGAATTGGAAACCAGAAACAGCTACCTCAATACACAAATAGCTGCTCTATACAATGTGCATTCTGGGTGTCAGCATCCACAGCAGCCACAACAATCACAACCACAGCAACGAATCAATAACACAACTAACCGATTTATTGCTTAAAAAGAAAGATTTGACAGTTGGGTTACTTTAGGTAATAAATTATGAGAGGAAACGGTCTGTACATGTGAGCTGTATAATCCTTTCTTATACAAGTCTCTAATCAAGCAACTCTTTACACATCATAAAACTGGAGTTTGCTCTGTTATCTTCATACAGAATTAAGAGTGTATAGAATATGTGATGAGCAATTGACACACATTACAAAATAAAACGAAAACAGAAAGATATATATTCACTGTATATATGCATATATGAATTATCATCCTTTTTTATTATTGTTTTATTCAAGATACTGATGCATGGATGAGTGTATGGATATGATTTGTCTACTTCTTAGATGAATTGCGTAGAAAGGAGGTTGCTCTTCTAAACAATGTTGAGCCTTGACCATCATTGTCATCTGATGCTTGTTTTGTTTTAATCGTTGAGAACTTTCTGGACTTGACTTTCTTATCAGCCGGACGTTCGTTCAATTGAAGTCTATCCAAAGCCTTCCTTTCACCATGATGAGCTGCTTTTATGTACCATTCTTTTGCTTTCACTTCATCTTTCATTACTCCAATCCCACCCTCTAAAAAATACCCTACTGCATACTCTGCTCGTGGCAATTCATTCTGTGCTGCATTCATAGCCCATAAATAAGCTTGTTCATCAGAAGGCGGTACTACACCCGGTATGCCCTCTAAGCACCAGGATGTCATGGCAAAACAAGCCTCAGGATGATTCTGTTCTGCGGCTATACTGTAATACTGATATGACAGAGCAGGATCTATATTACATCCAAGGCTTCCATATTCATAACATTCGCCTAAACGGAAAGCAGAGGGTGCATAATTTAATAAGGCTGCTTCGTGGAATAAACTGATGGCGTAATTCACATCAGCAAATATGACAGGTTCAACTCCTTTCTCATGAAGTACTGCCAGTTCATGTAAAGCTTGAGGATACTGATATGTGGCTGCCTCTGCTGATCTTTTGAGCCATTTATGCCCATCACGAATGCATCGGGATAGGCCTAGTTCACCATTCATTTGTGCAATACCAAGTCGATACATTGCAGCTGGATGATTTAAAGTGGCCGCTTTTCTAATTTATGTAATGTATTATATATATAACAAGTTTCTTTTCTATATATATATATCTTACCTATAGAATTGAACTGCTTTACGCTTGTCCTTCCGAGTGCCTAGACCATCTTCATAACAATTCGCAGTTCTATTAGTACATACAAAATAAAAAAAAGAGTAATTAATCACATAGATGATAGAAACATGATCTCCCTCCCCCCCTCTCCACCCCCCTTACAGAGTAGGAAATATGTAGACTACTACATTTTTTCTTAATGCTTTAATTTATCTATAATTGGTACATTACCTATAGGCTGCATCAGGATGGTGATGCTTGGCTGATTGAATAAATAAAGGGAACGCCTTATCATAATCGGGTTTACTGCTCTTATTTAATAACCCCGCTGCATACATATTGGCGAGATAATACTGGGATTCACTATGCCCTCGTAACGCTATCTGTTTAAGTATCTTCTCTGCTTCCATTATATATGCATGTTGATCACTATCTACATTGAGATCAGAATGATCACTTGATTGGGATTGTAATAACCTCTTGGCTACTTCGACCAAGAATATAGCAAAATTGCATTGGATTTCCTTATTCCTGGTCTTTTTGACATTTTTTCGATACATGTTGATGGTTTCATTGTAAGACAGAAGGGATGCATTTTCACCTGGCTTAAGGTGGGAATGGTTCAGTAAATGGTCACTGAGAGTCGATTGGAAACTTTGCTGAGAAGATGAAAACGAGTAGTTTCTGTTGGGATTCTTCAGGAAAGGAGGTGGAGATGAACTAGACAGAGAGGATGAACTGGTTGTACAGGATGAATTTGATTCTCGCTGCATTCTTATACTTTCTTGAGAAGGTCTATCTTGCTTGGTACCGTTGTATTTCATGTATACAGTGTGTTGTGGGGGAGATGGAGTTCTGGTGTGATGGGATTTAGATGATTGTATCATTTTTTGTGTGTCGAAATGAAAAGAAGAAAAGGGGGAGGATGAATGAAGTTGCTGAATGCTTTAAAAAAGAGTTAATAAAAGATGATAGAAGAGAGAAGCCTTTATAATGTGAAATATTTGCATTATAAATATTTATTATTTTGTCACTTCTCACATGTCATACTACAATTGGATTATGTTCACTCTCTTATTTGCGAAGGGTTAAATAAGGTCTACTCCTAATATTAATACAGTATAACTCTCCTATACCTATATATATCCGATGTTATTATGTACAATAGTTTCACGCATGTATCTGTTCATAGATATCAGTACTCCGATGCTACACACTATCTATAGTTGATGCATTATGGCTTGTCTACTCATAGTTACATGAATAGAAAAAAATAAGCTTTATGGAGATTACGGGGTTCACAGTAAAATGGAGTTATTCAATGTTTATTAGTGTTTATCCATAGTATATATATTGCTTAAATAAGCATGTAACAAACAATCGACAATGATGAAAGCATTATATATGGAAGCCTATCGTTTTTGTGATTCTCTTTTCTTCCCGTTTTTGGGCAAGTTACCAGGTAAGTTTATATTCTCGGTTAAAAATAACCTTTTTCTCCCCTCGTTTGTTAGTTGTAAAATAAATCACCATGTTTGTACACATAAGTGTCACTCTGATACCCTCTCTCTTTTTTTCTATCAAGTAATTTGGAAGGATTCAAATGATATTCTTATTCTTTTGTGATATATAAAAGTCATAAGCCCATACATAGCTATTGCGTGCATATATATATATATATATTCACATATATTCATCATTTATTTTTGATGATCAATGATCTATCATATTGTGTATTGGTTCACAGGTGTATATTACCAGATCACTTGGCATAAACCTGTGAACCACTGAAGTTATTTATAGAATTATTCTATTATAAACAAAAAGCACCAGAAATAACAATAACTTTACATTTCGGATATTGTGTCAGCAAACAACATATTTAGAAACACCCCAGATAGTAGACATTGGGTTGATTCAGAGGCACAAGTCGTTCTCTTTAAAGAACACTGAATCAAAAGAGGTAGATGAATGATAGGCCGATGACCCATGAAAAGCGCTTGTGTGATATGCTCAGCTCCCTTTATTCAAAATATGGATGTAAGATCTATATTGGCAGAAAGTAAAGAATTTTAAACCTGAATATTGCAGGAGTGGAAGGATTTCATCTAAAGAAGTTCATGATTTATAGGGGCATTTTACCGAGTATTTTTTAATCCCAGTTAGGCTAGTCAGGCTTGCCTAACCGTAAGGAGATCAGAACCTGGAGAGATGGAATTTCGGTGACAGAGGATGGGCTGAATGCGTATCATTCAAAATACAAAAGACAATTTCACCTTTCGAGGAAGATCTATAAATGATGAACTCCCATCAGCCAGCTACATTTCTACGGTCACTGATTTCCCCGTTCACTGTCTTCTGGGCTAAACAGAACAGAATATCTGTATGTTAATTTCCCCAATCTTTATCAGGGACACCAATTCCCCAAATACATGAAACCCATCAGCTATTCCTAATGTACAAGAAAGAGTTTCGCTCTAATTATCTGACAATTGAGTTTCACAAACCCGAGTTGTGTGAGTTATATTTATAGCAATATGTCCCAATTCATAATCAAGGTTTTTATTGCTTAGTATTATTTTACTGATCTGACTTGCTCAGCTTCAAGATGATATAACCTGCAATGACACTGTCGAATTAACTTACAATCCAGAGCTGGTGATATTGGTAATGTCCTACAGCTATTGCAATAATTAAATCTAAATTACAACCTGTTATGTGTTGTTTATATTGAATTGCATCATAACATATTGCTAGAAGGAGATCCTTAGTCTCTGTTGTGTACACTGTGAGAGAGTCCCAAATAAG